CCTGTGCAGCACAGGTACAGCCTCGGGGTCGGTGTAACCCACAACAAAACTTGACGAGCTACAGTTAGCTCAACAAAGAACACAGTGGTCTTACAGGCAATTAACCAAGGTTTTATGTGGGATGGGAATGCTCTAACCTCCACAGACTCTAACAGGAGCCAAAATGATTGCCAACAGGGCAGAAGGAGATCATTCAATATCAAACTGAGGCAGCCAGCAATTAGGAGGCCGCCACGGTAAAAACAGGAAGGCATGATGAGTGATGAGCGGCCCAGCGACAGAGAAAAGGAAGTAATCCAGACCACGGGAAGAAAGTCGACCTCCAGCTGATTTGATGGACTGCCGGGAAATCCCTCGTACAGACACCCGTGGGCAACAGGAATCCACGACAGAGAATTCAAATGCAGGTCCACACCATAAGGAGGACATACGGCTAACAAACAACATCAGAGGCACTCTAAGACACGGGAGAGCTACAGGGTTGACCTGTGCACGCTTCCACTCAGAGACAGGTGAGGACCGAGCTTAATCTAAGCGGCATGTAATCTGAGTGCGACCTAAGGGCTGGCAAGGGGAGAGAAACTTCCAGGTGTTCACTTTTCTTTTCTTTTGTTTTTGATGCTGTTGTTGTTTTCAACACAGGATTTCTCTATGTAGCCCTGGTTGTCCTGGAACTCATTCTACAGACCAGGCAGGTCTCAAACCCAGAATTTCGCCTGCCTCTGCCTCCTGGATGCTGGAACTAAAGATGTGAGCCCACCACTGCCTGGCCTAAGTGTTTACTCTTTAGAAATTTATTCAGTCAGTTGAGTTATTAGGTCATCTTTTCCATCCTCAAACAGAAAGCAGCCTCTGGTGCTGTAAAGATGTTCTGTGTTGGCATCGTGTGCTAGGAGCTTGCATAGACGTGGGGCTCACATGAACAGGAAAGCTACAGGTAGGCTGGCATTAGGGCTGGATGCAGACCGGCTGATTCTGCCCAAGATGGCACAGCAGTCTCTGAGGTCGGAGGCCATCAGATCATCCAGGATTATGGGCTGTGATGGTTAATACTGCCAGTTTACCTAGAGCTACAATCTTCCTAACTGGGGGACAATCCCAGGTACGACTGGGTTAACTGAGGTGGGAAGGTCCACCCTAAAGGAGGGTGGCAGCATCTTGAGTGTGGGCGTTCATTGCTTTCTGCTTCCTTGGGCTCCTGCAGCCTGGACTTCCCCACCACGAAGGACCGTACCCTCGGGCTGTGAACTGAAAGAAGCCTTCTGCAGTGGGCGGCTTTTGTTTAAGTATTCCTATCAGCAACCAGAAAAGTAACTCCTTTCCCCCACCAGTACACTGCTGCCAATGGGAGCCCGGATACTGAGACCTGACTCAAGCGACATCACCAGCCATGCAGCAGGGCTTTCCAGAGTGAAGCTCGGGAAGTGGTCCCCAGTGGTTTGGCCCTGAGAACCTCCTCCATCAGTGTGGTCTGGCCACAACCTCCAAGCATGGGGCTACAAACTGAATGAAAGTAATGGTGACCACAAAACTCAACCTGAACCAAACCAAAGCACTTTTTTTTGGGGGGGGGGATGCTTTCAAGAAAGGGCTTCTCTGTGTAGCCCTGGCTGTCTTAGAACTCACTCTGTAGACGAGGCTGGCCTTGAACTCACAGAGATCCTCCTGCCTCTGCCTTCCAAGTGCAGGCAGCACTTTGTGTCACACAGCCTGAGCAGTCCTAAAGACTATAAAACACAGCACCCCCATCCACACCCATGGTTTTTAACTTCTGTGGTTGTGGTCACCCACACTCAACTTGAATTACAATATATCGGTACAGCCCTTCTCCCTTACGGTCCATTGTTACTCTCTTAATGTGCTTAACTTACAAATTAAATTTTATTAGGGGCTGGAGAGGTGGCTCAGTGGTTAAAAGCACTGGCTGCTCTTCCAGAGGATCCAGGTTCGATTCTCAGCACCCACATGGTGGCTCACAACCATCTGTAATTCCAGTTCCTTCTTCTGGCCTCCAAAGGCACCAAGCATGCCATCAGGTACACAGATAAACATACAGGCAATGTACACATTCACATTAAAGCTTTGAGCTTTATTATTGGTATGCACATGGAGGGGGCGAAACATGGTCTGAGGGCTCTGTCCTAGCTATGATTTTAGGCACCTGTGGAACCTCCCCTAAGGGGAATGGAGCTAACTGCAGGGCCTGTTTACGCCAAGGTCCTGCTTCCATGTCCCAAATCACTTAGTCTATACTAGGAGCCTAAGAGCTGGGACCTGCGCTTTTTCCTAGGCTCTCACCAGCTTCCTCTGCTCAACAGAAAGGAGGAACAAGCAGAGATCTGAGTCGGCTGCACCGGGCACTTGTTTACACCAGTGCCACCAATTATGGCTTTAATCACGAAGGTCACACTTCTGTTGCATAATAAGCCCTTTATAAACATTAATCGTCTGCCATTGAGAATGTCCTCCGGGCTTTCTGATGTGCTTAGTTCACGGGTCAAGCAGTAAATGGCGTGAAGGTATAATGCAAGTGGCCAGAGCTGTGAAATTAGGCCCTATTCATTAGGCCGCAGTCCTCTGGGGAGCATTCTGAGATGAGGATATCTGCCTGCGGGAGGGGATGCACAAGGAAGGGAATACCAGTTGTCGGGAAGGATTTGTACATTTTCAAACACTAGAAGGTTAATAGCCGCGGCCAGAGAAAGATCTCAAACACATGTAAACAGTGGCCTTGGCATTCTGCCAGGAACTGCAAGCCTTTTCCAGCACACACACAGTAGGCACACGCTCATCAGCTCCTTCGGAAATAGGTGGCTATGTGATTGGCTTAGACCTGTGACTGTCACTGAGCAAAACCCAACAACCACTTCTCCGGTTTCTTCTATGCAAAGCCATAGACAACACCTCAGGCGACAGCTGCTCCAGGCTGGATCAGGAGTATAGACATCTCTGCATCTCCCTCTCCCCTCTTCCCTCCCTCTCATCTCCCTCTCCCTCTTCTCTCCCCCCCCCCCTCCATCCTTCTCTCAATAGACTCTGCATTCCAGCTCTGTCTGTCCATCTGGCTTATTTGTCTTTCGCCTGCCATGGTCCCACTAAACGTCCCACCTCGTGCTGCAATGGTAACACTAGGCTTGCTGTCCCCACACTCTCTTCCTGTCCTTTTGTCTTTGCTGATTGCACTTTGTGTTATTTCATTTCAATTAGTCAAAGTCATGGAGAACACTGTGTACTAAGCCCTCTGGTGAACCAGCAACCAGCGGTGGTCCTGGGCACCGGAGCACAGCAGTGAGGAAACACGCCTGTTATATTCACCAGTGGAGAAAGCAGGCCAGTGCCTGTTTGTGGGCAGGATAGGCAAGCAGATATTTCCTTCGCGTGTCAGGCACAATAGAAAATCAAGTAATCCTCTCCCACTATGTCCAGTTCCTTCTTCTAAAAGCTGTACGTGTGTGTGTGTGTGTGTGTGAGAGAGAGAGAGAGAGAGAGAGAGACAGAGAGAGAGAGAGAGAGAGAGAGAGAGAGAGAGAGAGAGAGAGAGAGAGAGAATGGTACCCACAAGGGTAGGTACCACAGAAGCCAGAAGAAGGCAGAGGGTTGGATCCCTTAGAACTGGAGTTACAAGCAGTTGTAAGCCACCCAAGGTTCAGGAATGTGAATTTGGATCCTCTAGAAGAGCAGCAAGTGCTCTTAACCACTGAGCCACCTCTCCAGCCCCAGTCCACCCCCCCCCCCAATTTCTTTCTTATGACAGGGGAATCCTGGTGACTCAAGAGACTGAAGGCCAGAGGCTTCCTCCACATGCCCAGGGTGAGCATCTCTTCTTAGCTCAGCTGCTCTACACAGCAAGGAGTCAGATGTGTTGTTTGAAACCGGCCCCAAAGGCTTGTTATTGGATTGTAAATGTGCGCACGTTCTGTTTACACAGAAAATGCTTAAACCAGAACACAAGCACCCAGGAGCAAAGACAAACAAACCTACCGTAGTTTCCAGCGGTGGAGTCTGACTTCTCAATGTGAATATTCCGGGTGACTTTGGGGCAGATTTCAATTTCTTTGTAAAGCTACAAATCACAGAGAGGAGGCTAATTAGGACCCATCACAAACAGCTTCTTAGGACTGGTCACATTTTGTAAATCTCTCTTTTCATAACTGATACTTGAACGAAAATACACACTATATCGGTCTTTCTCTGTGCTGCAACCCAGTGAGGGCTATAATGTAAACTTGGAATTCTCGTTACCAAGCTCAGTTACAGTATGGACTCTAACCCACCCCCCCACACACACATCTCTCCAGATAACACCCCAAATTCATCACAGACCTGAAAAATAATGCCTCGGTCATTAAACCCTCTAGTGCTTGGGCAGTGGGTTCATCAAAATCAAGAGGTGGCTGTAAGCACGTTGAGTAAGCTTCCTCAAATTACAAGGCACCCCGTGCTTACACACAGCACTTCCACATGGGAACATGCACAGGAGGATAAACTAGTACAGACAAATGCTGATACCGAAACAACCTGTGTAGGCGGACAAGATTCTCTGGTAGCCACTTAACTATACAAAATTAGCTGGAGAATTAACTATACAAATCAATCAACTATTGAGAAACCCAACATAGATATAACATGTTTCTTTATAAACTAAAGATTGGAATAGTGCATCGCTCGTACCTCAGAAATGTCTAAATTAACTGATATTATAGTTTCATATATCTGGACCTAATCTCATAAGCATGAATTTCCAACTATGTGGCTTTTGGTCCCATACAATAAGGGGACTAAGGCTACTGGGAAAGCATTAAGTTTGTAAAGCCAGGGCAGGCAGGGCAGGATTGAACCCATTCTTGCAACTGTGAGAGATATGGTTCTCTCTGCCCCACTATGGTGACTCCAGGGCCAACTTCTGAAGCCCAAAGAGGCCCAAGATCAGGGGAGGGGACCTTCTTAGGCATGAAAACCTAAAGCTGAAATCCAAATTTGAAAACAAAAGAGGAAAATCAAATGCAAACTTGATGTGGGAGTGATTTCTTATTAATAAAGAAACTGCCTAAGCCCCTTGATAGGCCAACCCTTAGGTGGGTGGAGAAAACAGAACAGGATTCTGGGAGAAAGAAGCTTAGTAGAGGAGTCGCCATGATTCCCCCGCTCCAGACAGACGCAGGTTAAGATCCTCCCTGGTAAGCCAGCTCGTGGGCTACACAGAATATTAGAAATGGGTTAGAACAATATGTAAGAGCTAGCCAATAAGAAGCTGGAACTAGCCGGGCCAGGCAGTGTTTAATAGACTACAGTTTCCGTGTAATTATTTCGGGCATAAGCTAACCATGTGGGCGGCCGGGTGCCGGGGACGCAGCCCTGCCGCTCCTATTTCAACACAAACTGTTCTTTGATCTTGAAATGAAAATCAATCTCGAGCCACAAAATTCAACAGAAACTTTATCCTACAGTACTGAAGCTCAGTCCCTGTGATGGCTGCCCCGCCCCATCTCTTCAGCATGGCATTTTATTCAGGCAAGACGGAGAGAGGATGATTGTCTTTGCCCATGTTCTATGACACAGCGTGACGGGGGTTACAGGTAGGAACATCAGTGGTGTCAGTATGATTTTTATTTAGGCACTTCAGAAATATTCACAAAATTAAACTCCACAGTTAGAAGACTGCAGTGATAATGACTTTAAGATCAGAAAATGCAGTCACCAAAATGACAAATACGGAGTTACTTAAATAAAGCTTACAAGACATGGCAGGCCAGCCTGGTGTGCAATACAACCTTACCCACTGCTTAGCTTGAGCCCTGGGAGTGTAATATGTGTGATGGCCCATCCATCCCGCCAGGTGGCAGTATATAACTGCTCTAACCATGGCTGGAAGACACAGCGGGAATACAGCTTGGGCCTTCTCAGCTTTCTGCTGGTCTCTGAGGACAGCTCCCTGCAGGAAGTGGATCTCTGAGCCACAAGATCACTCTTGTGCTGACTGAAATGGGGTCAGAAGAAGCAAACGGAAAAACCTCTAATAAAATACAGGAAATTTCAAGAATATACTTTGTCTTAAAATGGTTTCTCTGAAATCACAGCATTTGGAGTTAGGAAACTTGGAATCTGGTCGCTCTACGCACAGGTAAGCGGCACACATATTAAATAACCCCCACTTCTTTAAATTAGTGAGACTGCATCTCTCCCCACCCCTTTCAAAAGCTGGATGAGGAGATCACCAGATTTAACACCGCTTTGAATAAGCAGGTACTTGGGTCTCACAAAATCATGTCCTGTCTTCTTGTCTCCTCTCCTAAGCCACTGTGCCCCAGCCTGCAGGGGTTCTGTGTGCCCACTGTCCATGCCCTATGGTGCATCTGCCATACGCCAACCTCAAGGAGTCTGTAACAAAAGAGGTCAGCTATTGTCATTACTAGGTGACTGCAGAGAACTGGTTCCAGGACCCACGGGACCCCAGAATACCCAAACCTATGCATACTCCACTCTCTTATGTAGTATTTGCATGAAACCTGTGCTCACCAGCTCTTACATACTTTAAATTATCATTAGACTGCATTTGATACCTACCTAACGCAACATGAATGACAGAAAAACTGTTTTATGTTGTATTACATAGGGAATAAGGACCAAGGAAGTCTATACATATTCGGTACAGTCATGGCCATCACATTGTACACTGTTCTGTATATATTATATATCGGAGAGGCGCAACAATCGGGAGGGCTCTCACTTTGTTTCTGTTGATGGCTCCACAGATGTAGAAGGTCACATGTAATGTCCTTTTTCTCCTGGGCTTCCCTTTTCCTTTGGCCTCTATCTATCTACACAGCCTGCCTGCTCCTTTATAGTCTCATGCCTGGAACTTCATCTTTTCTTTTTAGCCTCCTGGTATGGCAGAACCAGGTAAGTCACTTCCCCCCTACCTCAGCTGAGCCAGTTTGTCAGCTGCTTTTTGCATATGTAGATATCTGCACGGGCATGAATACGCATGTACACATGCATGTGGAGGTCAGGGATTGGTGTGGTGTGTGTACACATGCATGTGGAGGTCAGGGATTGGTGTGGTGTGTGTACACATGCATGTGGAGGTCAGGGATTGGTGTGGTGTGTGTACACATGCTGTGGAGGTCAGGGATTGGTGACATGCGTGTACACATACATGTGGAGGTAAGGGATTGATGTCATGTGTCTTCCTTGATCACTCTCCATTTTAAATTTCATCAGGTGCCTCCCTGAGCCTGGAGTCTGCCAAATGAAGTAGCCTGGACAGCCAGCAACCTCTGCGGACCCTCCTGTCTCCCCCCTGCACTGGATCACGGTTGCATGCCACACTGCACAACCTTTTGCAGGGGTGCTTGTGCATGGCAAGGATTTAGCAGCTGACCCTTCTCCCCAGATACTGTCTTCTCTTCGTGAGACCCTTCCTGCAAGCGTATCTAACTCTTCCCACCCCCCACTCTGATGGTGCACCCAAGCACATCTCTGCCCGTCTGCCCTAACTCCTTTCCCTTCCAAGCCTCAAAACCTGCTGACGATGACATGTTTGTGTATGCATATCTGCAAACGTAAATGAGGATCCTCCAGACACAGGATTCTTTTTCCCTTTGGCACATACCCTGTGAGAATCAGAGATGATGCCAGGCACAGAAATGCTAAGTAAATATTTGCTACACGAATGAATAAATAATCAATTTTGCCTGCACATTTTCTTCCATCGCTCTAATAAGAACTCATTTAGTGTGAAATCCGAAAAAGCATTGTCTCTAGACTCCACCCCAGGCTTGTGACCAGATCATTCCATGGATTGCTCACAACAACTAGTCATGAGGAAATAGCCAGATGAGTAACATTTATATTAACACAACCAGGAAAGTAGACGGACACTAACTGTTAGCAGATATTCACAGCCGAGAGGACTCCCTGCCCACTAACACGAACACCCCCACCTCTAGGATCTCAAGTCCAGGACTCGCTGTTCCGCTGCTGGTCACAAGGAATTAAGCATTTGCAGTATGAGGACATGGCTCCTGCAGAGCGCTGGCCTCGGCATGCAGATGAGGACCAAAGCTAATTAACTCTGTGCGGACCGCTGCTTGTTCGGAAAGGGACAAGAAATCAAATAAACTCTCAAAAAGCAACCAGGGACGCTGCTCAGAATGACTCAGCCTTGCGGTGACATCACATCCAGGTGACTGATCTAAAGCAGGGATCCAAAACCAGGGACCCACTGAGATGACTCCAGAAAGGAAAAATTGCCCAGAATATCTACAAAGCGTAGGGCTCTTCTTGGACCATGAGTGCACGCACGCAACACACATACAGAAATACTGGGCGTGCCTGTGGCTTCTTCACGAACAGAAATGTTACCTTAATATCATGTTCTGGTCGCCACTGAGAGCGCCCAATATTACTTATACTCGCCACTACTTCCGAGTACTAGAAGCCACTATACCTACCTCCAGGTCTTATAATTTAGTGAGCTAACACCATGTTATCTATCTATCTATCTATCTATCTATCTATCTATCTATCTATGACGTTTGCTGAGTATTTTGTTATAACTGAACTAGGGGAAGCCCATACACATCCTGCCTCACACAACTATAAGGGTTACTCTGGGAAGGGATCTTGAAGCTTTGTCAGACACCCAAGCTGCCCAGAAGACAAGAAGTGTAAAGAAGTTGGTGGAATGGAGGTGCTGGTGTAGGCGAGACCGTAGCCACTATTTCCTTGGGGAATCTCTGGGCCAGAGACGTCTATAAAGGGTGAGAGAATTCAACGGTCGCTGTACTCTAGATTCCTTTTTAAAATAGTAAGTTGTACATAACAATTATGGACCCCAAAATGCTGAGCCTGGAATTTCATCACCTCATTGGACAAGACCACGTAATTCGGAAGCTTAACAACAGTATGTGAGGAGGGCTGGAGAAGTGGCTCAGTGGTTAAGACCACTGGCTGCTTTTATAGACAACCCAGGGTCAGTTCCCAGCACACATACGCGGCAGCTCACAACCTTCTGTCACTGCAGTTGCAGAGGGACATGCCATCTTCTTCTGACTTCTTTAGGTACCAGACATGTACCTGGTGCACACATGCATGCAGGAAAACACTCATACACATAAAATAATAAAATAAAGAAATCTAAAAAAACTTAAAACAGTATTATGAGTAATAAAAATAAGTCACAGCTGAATTTGCACTCATGCCTGGCATATACAGGGCACAGAAGTTGGCTGCCTATGAGCCCTGTAATTTATGCTCTTCAAAACTCACAAATCATAAGGCATAAACTAAACGATCTATTGCTGTGTTACCAGCTTGGCCCCTTTCAATCTTCTCTTCTCTGTGTTTTTAGATCACGTAGTGCCAGGTTATGCCCCAAGCCAAGCTGAAACTCTGTGTGTCCACTCTCCTCCTTTTGCCTAAGTCTCTCCAGCGCTGAAGTTACAGATGTTCATCACACCACTCATCTGGATTTTTTTTGCCTCCAAGAAACATCTTGCTATGTTGTTCTCCAGGCTAGCCATGAACTCCTGCCCCAGCATCCTAAGTACCTCCTTCTTTAAGTAAGGAGTACATGGCCTCCTCCATCAACACAGTCAGCAGTGGTTTAGACTGGACTACTCATTTTGGTCCTTTGCCTTCCTTTCCAATATTTATTTTATATATATGAATGTTTTGCCTGCATGTATGTCTCTGCACCACATTTGTTCAGTGACTACAGAGGCCAGAAGAGGGTGCTGGATACCCCAGAATAACAGTTATGGACGGTTGTGAGCCAGCATGTGGGTACTGTAAATCTACACTTGGCTCCTCTGTAAGAGCATCAGTGATCTTAACCACAGAAGCACCCATCCCTCCAGCCCCAGTTTGATCCTTTTCCAACATAGAACACGATCAGACTCTTACAGAAGTATAATCTCATATTTCCTTTTAAAAAGATTTAGAGGGAGCTGAGGTAACCTTTTAGGCTGGCAGAAACATTCCAAATCATAACCAACGCACTGAAACATAATTGTTTGCCAATGCTCTTTCAACTGTGTGCTTAACATAGGCGAGAGTTTCCCAATATAGGGAGTACAGTTCAAAAAGTTGAGTTAAAACAGCATTTCCTATGAAATTCTACACCGTGGTTCCCCTTTCCAAAGGGAACCTCTGGGCCGGACTTCTGTTTTCTGTGGTAAGGCCCCACCCTGTTGTCATGCCCATATCCAGAACAAGCAGAGGCCCGGGAGGATGACTAAGTACTAAGAAGCCAGCACATTCTCCAAGAGAGCCTGAGGCAAGTCATCAGACGGCTGGGGACTTTTTCATATTTTGATTTTACACCCACAAGATCTGACCCATCCGTTTTGATAAGAACATGGAAGTTGCACAGAATTGGAGGGGGTGTTTTTATTGTGACAACTGCCAACTGAGATTAGAGTCACCCGTTAGAGACAGAAGTCTGCATGAAGAGTTGGTTACGCTGATTAATTCCTTGTCTGAGCATCACCTGTGGGTTTCGGCGTCCTTTGAGCCTGTGCAGCCCTGCTCCCTGGCAAGCAAGGGCGACTCCACTCCACTCTGGAGCGCCTGTGGTAAGTAAGGTTATTTCTGCCAGCTCTAGGCTCTGAATGAAGCTCTCTCAGTTCAGAACTCGTTCCCCTCCACCAGCTACAATCACCACAAGTACATACATAATTTGAAAATCATCTCTAACAGAACGCACAAGGACAGCAGTCGTAAACATTACCAGCTCGTAAATGTCCTCCTCGGGCTGTGGGGTGTAGAACAGCATCTTGTTCTCCATTAGAAACTTCAGGCGCAGGTAATGGGCGGAATGGTCCAGTTGGTGTGCCTGGGATGGGAAGGACGGGAAGTGTTTAGTCCTCACCACCAGGAGAGGTTTCTGCTCCAAGGAAGTGGGACTCACTATCTGGTTTCCTAAGGACGTTCGCAATGGGGTATGCGGCAGGTTTCTTCCCTTGAAAGGTTAGAATACAATTCAGACCTGGAACTCATTAATAAAATTCCACAGGGATCGTGCAATTCAACGCAGCAAACTGAGTCAGAGCCTCTTTTCCATGTATTTGATTAGCTGCGCTCTGTAGCACTGGGCTTTAAAACAAAATTTATTACATTAAAGAAGTCTTCTCATATAACTTCACATACGGGGGAGGGAAGCATTTACAATGAGAGAAAAAGGGTGTGCCCCATGAAATTTGGGGACCCCAGGACAGGTGTTAGCAGCTCACTACAAGCAAGTTAGCATGCAAGCAAAGCATCTAAACTTCATTCAGTCTTACTTATATATTCCGGAATAGGACTCCCAGGGGCAGTACAAGTGTGCCTCCGACCTGGGAAGCACAGCAAATGACTAGGAAATCTGAGTTCCGAGGGCCTTTCCATTGTCTAGGATAGGTCGATGGATCTGTTCTATCTAAAAAGCCATTCTTGAATTAATTTTGATCACAAAATTTGCCATTACAATATGGTTTTATAAGAACTTCTCTACACAGAAAGGAGGCATATGGAGAAAAGAAAAATGCTTTTCAAATGTTACAAGACGCCAGGCAGTGATGGCACATGCCTGTAATCCCAGCACTCAGGAGGGAGGCAGAGGCAGGAGGATCGCTGTGAGCTCAAGGCCAGCCTGGTCTACAAAGAGAGTTCACAACATCCAGGGCTGTTACACAGAGAAACCCTGTCTAAAAAAAAAAAAAAAAAAAAAAATCAAATGCTACAAGACACATGAAGTTATGCTGCAAGAGAGGAATATGAATATGAATAATGCTAACTGTAAAGTGCCTTTATCACTAAAACTACACCGCAAAATACTACCAAGTAAATGATACGCTATTTAGAACTCCCAGGTAGAACCAATGAAAGTTAACATTATATATTCTATGCAATGGGCACATGGGAATTTATTACATGGATCTCACTTTTATACAAATTTTTAAATTAAAAATTCAATTTTATATAAGTAAGTGATAAAAATATTTTCCAATGCCCTGTGATGAAAATTATCTCTTTTTTGGTGGGGGGGGGGCAGATTTCCTCTGTGTAGCCCTGGTTGTCCTGAAAGTCGCTCTGTAGTCAGGGCTGGCCTTGAACTCCCTGAGATCTGCCTGCCTCTGCCTCCTAAGAGCTATGATTAAATGCATGCACATGGCCGACTGAGAATTATCTTTTAATAAGTAAAAGTCATTTTAATTGGTAAACACTCTTACCAATCTACACTGTCAGTATAAATATAAACACACAGACCAAACTAACACATTCCAGTCACTACTCCCTCAGCAGTCACAGCCACAGGTAACAATGTGGGCAATGTGCCCGGCGGGCTCTCCGTGAAGCAGCAAGGGTATAGGCAGCAGTTCGGATCACTGCCGGCCTCTGGAGTGTGCTTGGGTTTGGGGAATCCCAATGCAGAAAATGGAGACAGAGGAGCGGTTGGCGGTTCTTTAAATAAATACAGGCACGAGGACGGTCATGCATTACCACAAAAGCACATCTCCAGAAAGTGGAAATGGTTCCCTGGGAGCACACAGTGGAATGATAAAGACGTTTTCTATTGCTGGTTCTCGGGGAAACCCAGCCTGGGTTTTAGTCCCGTGGATTGCGATGTCGGGAGTCCGCCGAGCAGAACCGACACCATTCAGTGGATACATTCCTGAGCACCTGGCTTTCTTCCACTGTGTCTGAGACAGGATGCCT